ACTCATTGGAGCTTAATGCCTTTTCCCAAGTGGGAAATGTCACTACCATGTCAGAAATACACCCTTAAGTGTAGGAAATCAGAAAACTATAGAAAACGTAAAAATATCAGGAAATAACTTATAATCCTAACACAGAGGAATAATCACTCTAAAATACTTACTGTACTTCATTCAATAGTTTTATAATTATTGTGCATGAATTTTGTATAAATTTCAGACTATATTGAGTTTTGTATGCTGTTTGTTCCTCTACTTGATATTATTTTGTTTTATAACATAATATTTTCACATCATCCTGCATGCCTCAAATAGACATTTTCAGTAGTTAAACCTTCTTTCCATCAAATAGCTGTACCAAATTTAATAAGCATTTCCTTTCTCCTGAATATTTAAATTATTTCTCATGTTTTCTATCAAAAATAATTATTCTATGGATATCCTACTCCACTCCTTTGCATTACTAATTCTTCCTCTCCTAAGATAATTAAAAAGAGGATTGAAGTTTATGGGATCAAGGGCATGGGCAATTTTAATTTTGTGGGTAAATGTTGGAAAATCATCTCCATAAAACTGTTCATTTTCATTTTCATACACAGGTAGCAGACCTTCCCTGTATAAATTTTGACTATTACATGCCCTCTTTTCTGCAGCTGGACTGGCAAAAACACTCTCTCTTTGGTGTTTCAGATTGAATTAAAATGAACTTCACTTGTAGTGATTACAAACATTTTTTTCAGGTGGATTTGGTCATTTCTTTTCTCATATTTTGATTATTCATTCACTTCAGATATCTTTAGTGGAAATGTTAATTTGCATTTTCATGCTTGTTCATCATTCTCAGTACTGAAATATGAACCCATTACTTTTGTCATAGTTCGCAAACATTTTTCCAAAGTAGTGTTTGGCCTTAAGTTCTATTTAGTTGTGAACAGAGATGTAATTGTTCTACAGTTCCTCTCTCTTTGTGACAAAAAAGAAAAATCATTTTATATATCATCCCTCTTGCGGGAAATGACATAATGTAGGAAATAAAGTTGTAGTATACCCACAAACTCACCTCTCACCTAAGTTCTCAAAAGGAAATGCTATTAAAGCCTAAATTCTGGTGTATATATTTCCAGAAGTTTCTTAAATAAGTATTTAATAAACTTTTAACACATTAACTTTGTGCCAGTTGGCGTGTTTAGATTTTCACATTGCAGAATTACTAGCAAAGGCTATAGTTGTCCCCCATTCTCCTCAGTTTCTCTTTCCACAGTTGGAGTTACCTATCCATCTGCATTCGGGAAGCAGATGATCCTCCATCTCATAAGTCCTCGGAAGGTCAATAGTAGCCCAACACTGCGTCATCGCCCTCCCTTCTTATCATGTAGGCATATTATCATCTCACAACATCACAAGAAGGGTGAGTAGAGTACAATGAGGTAATTTGAGAGAAAGACAGTCACATACCTTAAAGTGCAGTATATCATAATGGCTCTTTTTATTGTTAGCTCTTGTTGTTAATCTCTTACTGGGCCTAATTTATAAATTAAACTAGATTGTAGGTAAGTGTGTATAGGAAAAAGCATAGTTGATATGAGGTTCAGACCTATCTGCAGTTTCAGGCATTGTTGGGACCATGGACCATATCCCCTGCAGATAAGAGGGCACTAGCGTTAGTGACTTCCAGGTTGACTAAGACAACTGTTATTTTAAAAAAATTAATTTGGTTTTGTTAGAAAGCAATAGAATACACCCAAATGTATTTTGATAAATTTTAATCAATGCAACTATATTCCCGAATTACATATAGGACTCAATAGAAATCCTGTCCTTTTGGATTAAAAATTTATGGAAATAAGAATTAGTACAAAACTTTGGTTAAATATAGAGCAGGCGTACTTGACATGGAGACCATGGTCCCCAAACTGGTTATACTCAACTGCATCAAGATTCTGGGGAGCATTTTAAAAGAGAGACTATTGGCGGCCCTGTAATCTATCACTTTTGCACATAAATATTTGTATTAACTTTAGGCATTGACAGAACTAACCATCTTAATAAAGTTATTTTTTTCATTTCCAGTTTTTGTGAATTTCGTTTTTATATTTAATTATATATATCAGAAGTATGAGTTAAGAGGCCAAGATTTAACATACATTATGCTATATATGAATTATAAATATTTTAAATGTATCTTTCACATGTGTAGACACTTTTGCCACTAGTCTATTTTGAAAAAATTTCTCAACCTCTTCACTATAGAAAAAATTGCTATTCAAAAATGGGAAGTGTCTGGCACTCATGTGTTTAGAACTTTCTATGCTTTCTCTTGTTCTTACCGCAGAGTCCAAAAATGACTCCATGAAGTTAGTTGCCTTTCATAGATGTATGACTTTGTTTTGTATGAAACAAAACAGCAACAGTAACAAGAGAACAGGAAAGTAATACATTATATATATTTTCAAATACTTATACACTATAAATTCAGAAGGCACCAGCCCCTGATTTGAGCCCCTTGATCTTGTTTTCAGTCCCTTGAGCGCAGTTGGTGCCTTCCTCTGACCTCCGTGCAGGCCGTTACCTCCTCCTGGAACAATTGTTATCTCCTCATTCCACCAAATTAAACTAGTTCATCCTTTAGTAGGAGCTTAAACACTGATTTCTTCTGGAAGCTTTTCTATTTTTATTATGTGTTGACACATTTCATTGTATCTATAATAATTGTGTGATTGTGTTTCTGCTGGATTTGATTGTTCCTTTCTCTTATTCGTTTATCTTTCCATCATGTTCTAATTTCATGATCAAATTTGGGCTTTTCAGCAGCCTATTCATAACAACTATGTTCTTCCATCCCAAGTTAAGCATTGAGATGCATAGGAACCAGGAAACACTTTTACAATGTACACCTTGGAGATTAAGGCTTTTGATCTTCAAAAGGGCTTGTTTATATTTCACCCCTGACTCAAGTGGGCTTGCTCACCCAGTGTCCAGCGCAAATACGAGCCTGGGACTGGCCACCTACTGCCAGTGTGGACAGATCAGAATTCCATGGCTAGTCTGATCATACAGGGACATTGACTAGTGGAGGGGTCAGGACTCCGTAAGTAACCCACCCACACCACATACCCAAAACTGAAGTTTTTCCTATTCTGGGGGATGTTAGGGTGAAAAGTGAAAACTTCTAGTCTAAATGAAGTCTCTATACTTGCAGTGATAGGAAGTGGAGAATAATCATATTGCTCCTCTAAACCTCTCTTCCTTTCCTTAAAATCGCTATTTGTTTTATTTGTTTTATGTTATCACATCGTACTTGTACAATCACCTGATTGTGATAGGTTCTCCTGAATTTTCCTTCTCCTTCCCCATCTCCTTCTCCTTTCTTCCTACCCTTCTTTCTTCTTCTCTTCTTACTACTTGGTTTTCCTCTTTTATATCCCAAACTTCCTGCTTTCACTGTAGCCAGAGTTCCTCTCCCTGCTCCAGGTTGCAGTACTTTCCCCTGAGAAGTTTTCTTAGCAAAATGGCCCACGCCACGTACACACTCTTCCCCTGCCGCATTTCCAGCAGCACTTTGCATCCTCAACCGCATGCACAGTGGCCTACAAACTATTTGCCGTCTTGGATTCTGGGGTTCAGAGTGTGTTTGGGCTCAGATGCTCGCCTCCTGCTCTAGTTCAGTGATGAGTCTTGCTTTACGGGGTTATTTTGTTGTTTCCAATGAAAACCATTTTTGAGTTTGTGATGAAGATGACATAAAATTAATTGGAGATTGTTACTCAATGGCCTCAAGAAATTTATTTATTGCATTTTATTTCTCCAGAGTTTAATTTCTGGCTTTACCTTATCGCTGCTGTTATGGCCCCCACAGCCCCTCTCCACAGCATAACACTGTTGTATTTAAATTTTAATCTTCATGTTTTGAGATTCATCCAGTTTTGCTGTTTGTGTAGCTCATATTCCTCTCCTATAAAATAAGAATAATTATAGCTGCCCCATAGTTTTGCAATAAAAATCAGTGAAATGTTATATACTAAGCATTCTTGTAATAACTGACAAATATTTATATTTAAAAACTGTTGTTTAGGAAAAGTAATTTTTTGACTGTCCACTAGTGTTTTGGTTTGATTACTTGGTAAGCATATTTACCAATTCCAAATGCATGATTCTGGGAGACAGTAACTTTGCTGATTAGAAGTTCATAATGTACTTTACATAGAGACACATTTATCATATTTCTGTTTAAAAAAAACAGGAAAACAGGTTTTACTTCCAAACTTGAAAATTATGTTACAAAAATACACATTGTGATTAATAGATTTCATGATAATTTGACTATGTATAACATGATATGAAAATATCATCTTTATGTTAGCAGGTAATAGAATATCATCTTAATACAACTCATGTTTTTTCATATTCATCTATTTGTACTCTTTTCCTGGTCATATTCCCTTACTCCAGGTACTAATTGGAGTATGATCTTATTCTTTTTCACTTTTTATTGAATCTGCAATTTCTGAGAACCACATTTATCATTCTGCTTTCATTTCCTTTTCTCTTTTATTTCCAGGAATCAAAATAAGGTACTTCTTTCTCCATTGTCCCTGTTTTCTCAAGTGTTTCTCCCTCTATATTAAAGTCCAGTAAGCAGCACAGCCCAGACATGCTTGACTGGCAAAGAATAGGGACTTTCTTCAAGTCTCCTTTCATCTACTTATAAAGGCTTTCCTACAATAACTGTCACATAGTGTCCACTGTGTCTTTCCAAGTTCTGCTTGACATCATCCATCTCCAAGGAGTACTTCCCAGATTATGATGAACTCCAGTAATCATATCTGCTCCACCTTCATTGGTACGTATGTGGGTACATTCATAGAAATACAAATAATTACCTAGGCAGCAAGAATGTGAGAAATAAATGATCAGACAAGATTCATTTTTCAAAGTTATTAATGTTTCACATAAACATGGGATGAAAAGGATGGCAGGACCCTTGGAATTCAGCACATACTTTATCACACACTCAAAATATCTCTTACCCTAAAAAATGATTTGACCACCCTTTCACGGATCTGTTTGGTCTTTACTCCATAGATAATTGGATTGAAGGTGGGAGGCAACACCAGGTAGAGGTTGGCTATAAAAATGTGGACATGGTGAGGTATAACATGTCCCCCAAAGCGGTGAGTGAAGAAGTTGAAGAAGGCTGGGACATAGGTGATGACAATGGCACATATGTGGGATGTGCAGGTGCTGAAGGCTTTGTGGCGAGCATTTGCAGATGGCAGATTCAATACAGCACGGATGATCATGGTGTAAGACATGGAGATGCAGAACATATCAAACACTCCAATCAGTGTGGCAGCTATGAGACCATAGATAGCATTAATCTTGATGTTACCACAGGATAATTTGGCCAAAGACATATGCTCACAGTAGGTGTGGAGGAGGAGGTTGCCCCTGCAGTAGGGAAGACGTTTGATCAGGAAGGTGAAGGGTATCATGAGCGACACACTGCGAGTTAGGGTGGCAAGGCCAAGCTTGGTAACTCTGGTGTTGGTGAGGATGGTAGAATAGCGTAGTGGGTAGCAAATAGCCACATAGCGATCTAGAGCCATAAGCATGAGCACGCCAGACTCCATGCCCGTCAGCATGTGGATGAAAAACATCTGTACGAGGCAGGCATTAAAGTCAATCTCCTTGAGATTGAGCCAAAAGATACATAACATATTGGGGACAAATGAAGTGCACCCACTAACATCTGTAAGGGAAAGCAAGGCTAGGAAGTAGTACATG